GTTAGAACGCAACCAACACACAAGTTAGAACGCACCCAACACACAAGTTAGAACACAACCAACACACAAGTTAGAACACACCCAACACACCCAATTTAGAACACAACCAACACACAAGTTAGACACACCCAACACACAAGTTAGAACACACCCAACACACAAGTTTGAACACACCCAACACACAAGTTTTGAACACACCCAACACACAAGTTTAGAACACACCCAACACACAAGTTTAGAACACAACCAACACACAAGTTAGAACACAAACAACACACAAAGTTAAAAACACAACCAACACACAAGTTATAACACAACCAACACAAGTTAGAACACATCAACACACAAGTTAGAACACAACCAACACACAAGTTAGAACACAACCAACCCACAAGTTAGAACACAACCAACACACAAGTTAGAAACCCCAACCAACACAAGTTAGAACACACCCAACACACAAGTTAGAACACAACCAACACACAAGTTAGAACACAACCAACACACAAGTTAGAACACAACCAACACACAAGTTAAACACAACCACACACAAGTTAGAACACAAAACCAAAACACAAGTTAAACACACCCAACACACAATTAGAACACACCCAACACACAAGTTAAACACACCCAACACACAAGTAGAACACACCCAACACACAAGTTAGAACACTCCCAACACACAAGTTAGAAACACAACCAACACACAGTTAGAACGCAACCAACACACAAGTTAGAACGCACCCAACACACAAGTTAGAACACAAAACCAACACACAAATTAGAACACACCCAACACACAAGTTAGAACACAACCAACACAAAAAGTTAGAACACACCCAACACACAAGTTAGAAAAACACCCCAACACACAAGTTAGAACACACCCAACACACAAGTTAGAACACACCCAACACACAAGTTAGAACACACCCAACACACAAGTTAGAACACACCCAACACACAAGTTAGAACACAACCAAAAACACAAGTTAGAAACACAAACAAAAACACAAGTTAGAACACAACCAACACACAAGTTATAACACAAACCCAAAACAAGTTAGAACACAACCAACACACAAGTTTAGAACACAACCAACACACAAGTTAGAACACAACCAACCCACAAGTTAGAACACAACCAACACACAAGTTAGAACACAACCAACACAAGTTAGAACACACCCAACACACAAGTTAGAACACAACCAACACACAAGTTAGAACACAACCAACACACAAGTTAGAACACAACCAACACACAAGTTAGAACACAACCAACACACAAGTTAGAACACAACCAACACACAAGTTAGAACACAACCAACCACAAGTTAGAACACACCCAACACAAATTAGAACACAACCAACACACAAGTTAGAACACACCCAACACACTAGTTAGAACACAACCAACACACAAGTTAGAACACAACCAACACAAGTTAGAACACAACCAACACACAAGTTAGAACACACCCAACACACTAGTTAGAACACAACCAACACACAAGTTAAACACACCCAAACAAGTTAGAACACAACCAACACAAGTTAGAACACAACCAACACAAGTTAGAACACACCCAACAACATAGTTTAGAACACAACCACACAAGTTAGAACACAAACCCAACACACAAATTAGAACACACCCAACACAAGTTAGAACACAACCAACACACAAGTTAGAACACACCCAACACACTAGTTAGAACACAACCAACACACAAGTTAGAACACACCCAACACAAGTTAGAACACAACCAAACACAAGTTAGAACACACCCAACACACTAGTTTTGAACACAACCAACACACAAGTTAGAACACAACCAACACAAAGTTAGAACACAACCAACACACAAGTTAGAACACAACCAACCCCACAAGTTAGAACACACCCAACACAAGTTAGAACCAACCAACACACAAGTTAGAAACACACCCAACACACTATTAGAACACAACCCAAAACACAAGTTAGAACACAACCAACACAAGTTAGAACACAACCAACACACAAGTTAGAACACACCCAACACACTAGTTAGAACACAACCAACACACAAGTTAGAACACACCCAACACAAGTTAGAACACAACCAACACAAGTTAGAACACAACCAACACAAGTTAGAACACACCCAACACACTAGTTTAGAACACAACCAACACAATTAGAACACAACCAACACACAAGTTAGAACACACCCAACACAAGTTAGAACACAACCAACACAAAAAGTTAGAACACACCCAACACACTAGTTAGAACACAACCAAAACACAAGTTAGAACACACCAACACAAGTTAGAACACAACCAAAAAAAACAAGTTAGAACACACCCAACACACTAGTTAGAACACAACCAACACACAAGTTAGAACACAACCAACACACAAGTTAGAACACAACCAACACACAAGTTTGAACACAACCAACACACAAGTTAGAACACAACCAACACACAAGTTAGAACACATCCAACAAACAACTTGAAACAACACACAACTTAGAAGACAACACAACCTAGTACACAATACACAAACTTAGTACACAACACACAACTTACCCCAACAATGATGAGAACAACCAAGCACCACCACTAAGCTTGTAAAAAAATTTTTACGATACAAGAAAAGGTATTAGGCTAGATAAGGCAAGCCATGGTGCGTGATGGATAACTTAGGCCATCACATTTCCAGTTCTATCCTCGTCAAATGTCACACAGGTCAGGCTAGCCTCACTATGCACTTGTACGTCAATTTGTTCACGTATATGTATAGAACCACAGTCGAAGCACTAGTAAGTACAGCACTAGGATGTTAGTCGAGGATCAGTGTTGTTAGTGCACTGGGACGGTGTCACCCCGCTGATTGTGCTTCAAAGAATTGACCTTAGGAGCAAGGGGGGGCATTAGGGACCACTGGGGACTGCTAGAAACTACTAGGGACTACCAGGGGCCACGAGGGACAGCGCAGGGCCACGAGGAACCACTAGGGACAACGAGGGAACACACACTGTCACCACGAGTTCAGCGGACTTCCTGGAGGACACCTCTGACCAAGAACCGTGAAAGTGACCCCCACAAGGTGGCAACAGCTTACATGTGCAGCAGTGTACTCATCTGTACTCACCTAGTTGTGGTTGCAGGGGTCGATTCATAGCTCCTGGCCCCGCCTCTTCACTGGCCGCTACTCCTTCTCTCTTCCCACTCCATGAGCTTTATCATACCTCTTCTTAAAGCTATGTATGAATCCTGCCTTCTGCAGTGGTGTACACTCAGCTGTGTTGATGCTGCAGTATACACTCGGCTGTGTTGATGCAGTGGTGTACACAGCTGTGTTGATACAGCAGAGTACACTCAGCTGTGTTGATACAGCAGAGTACACTCAGCTGTGTTGATGCAGCAGTATACACTCAGCTGTGTTGATACAGCAGAGTACACTCAGCTGTGTTGATGCAGCAGTATACACTCAGCTGTGTTGATGCAGCAGTGTACACTCGGCTGTGTTGATGCAGCAGTATACACTCAGCTGTGTTGATGCAGCAGTGTACACTCGGCTGTGTTGATGCAGCAGTATACACTCAGCTGTGTTGATGCAGCAGTGTACACTCAGCTGTGTTGATGCAGCAGTATACACTCAGCTGTGTTGATGCTGCAGTGTACACTCAGCTGTGTTGATGCAGCAGTATACACTCGGCTGTGTTGATGCAGCAGTATACACTCAGCTGTGTTGATGCAGCAGTATACACTCAGCTGTGTTGATGCAGCAGTATACACTCGGCTGTGTTGATGCAGCAGTATACACTCAGCTGTGTTGATGCAGCAGTATACACTCGGCTGTGTTGATGCAGCAGTATACACTCAGCTGTGTTGATGCAGCAGTATACACTCGGCTGTGTTGATGCAGCAGTATACACTAAGCTGTGTTGATGCTGCAGTGTACACTCGGCTGTGTTGATGCAGCAGTGTACACTCAGCTGTGTTGATGCAGCAGTATACACTCAGCTGTGTTGATGCAGCAGTATACACTCAGCTGTGTTGATGCAGCAGTATACACTCAGCTGTGTTGATGCAGCAGTATACACTCGGCTGTGTTGATGCAGCAGTATACACTCGGCTGTGTTGATGCAGCAGTGTACACTCAGCTGTGTTGATGCAGCAGTGTACACTCAGCTGTGTTGATGCTGCAGTGTACACTCAGCTGTGTTGATGCTGCAGTGTACACTCGGCTGTGTTGATGCTGCAGTGTACACTCAGCTGTGTTGATGCTGCAGTGTACACAGCTGTGTTGATGCTGCAGTGTACACTCGGCTGTGTTGATGCTGCAGTGTACACTCAGCTGTGCTGATGCAGCAGTATACACTCAGCTGTGTTGATGCAGCAGTATACACTCAGCTGTGTTGATGCAGCAACAGCTGCTGTAACAGGCATCTTGCTAGTTCTCACTCATCAATGTCTGCACCCCACTTATCACATCGATGTCATATTCAATTTTTTTTTTTTAAATTTCCATTGAATACAGAATAATTGTGACTGTGTTGCGTTGCGTCAGTGTTATTGTGTTGCGTCAGTGTGACCACTCAGCAACATGTAACTTAAGAAAAACAAACCTTGTCAGGAGTGGGATTCGAACCCACGCCCTCAGAGAGGACCAGAATGCCCATGACCCTTCTATCTGAAGGGAAGTTACCTTGAGTCTGGCGCCTTAGACCACTCGGCCATCCTGACGGTACACACTGAGTATGGACCTCAAATAATTATGGCTGCTGTGGTCGAGTCTCAGCTCCTGGTCTCCACCTCTCCGCTGGTCGATACTCAGTTCAACCCTGGCTAAGTAAGCCTTATCATACCTCTTCTTAAAGATATGTATGGACCCTGTCTCCACTGTTGTGTGTGTGTATCCAAAGCCTAAATAAAAACTAACATTAACAATAAACGTCGCAATAATACTCTGTTGATTTGCTTTGTAATGACCACGTTACCTGAAATACAGTAGACAACAGATAGTAAACAGGTTCTTATTAAGAGAGGAAGTAGGTACTGTGCTTAGGTACTGTCAGGAACACACTGCTTCAAGCCTCGTCCATTCGTATCTTCATGGTTGCTTCGCTACTGATAACACTATCACTATGGCGCCATAGTGTATAAGCCTAAAGGTGTATATCTCTCAGTGTATTTACACCGAGGCGTGTGTACATCTCAGTGAATATACATTGAAATGTATATACTGTATGCACACACACACGGAGAGTCGCGTTTTAATTTGATATACACTGAGAGCTCTGTGTACTTATTGATGCAAGGTGTGTTTACAACTAAACAGGTGTGTAGTGTGTTGGCTAGACAGTCATGTGTAGTGTGTATGCTACGCAGTCATGTGTAGTCTGGGTAGTGTGTACTCACCTATTTGTGGTTGCAGGGGTCGAGCATAGCTCCTGGCCCCGCCTCTTCGCTGATTGCTACTAGGTCCTCTCTCTCCCTGCCCCATGAGCTTTATCATACCTCGCCTTAAAACTATGTATGGTTCCCGCCTCCACTACGTCACTTTCTAGGCTATTCCACGGCTTGACTACTCTATGACTAAAGAAATACTTCCTAACATCCCTTTGATTCATCTGAGTCTTCAACTTCCGATTGTGACCTCTTGTGTCTGTGTCCCATCTCTGGAATATCCCGTCTTTGTCCACCTTGTCTATTCCGCGCAGTATTTTATATTTCGTTATCATGTCTCCCCTGACCCTCCTGTCCTCCAGTGTCGTCAGGCCGATTTCCCTCAACCTTTCTTCGTAGGACAATCCCCTTAGCTCTGGGACTAGTCTTGTTGCAAACCTTTGCACTTTCTCTAATTTCTTGACGTGCTTGACCAGGTGTGGATTCCAAACTGGTGCTGCATACTCCAGTATGGGCCTGACGTAAATGGTATACAGAGTCTTGAACGAATCCTTACTGAGGTATCGGAACGCTATCCGTAGGTTTGCCAGGCGCCCGTATGCTGCAGCAGTTATCTGATTGATGTGCGCCTCAGGAGATATGCTCGGTGTTATACTCACCCCCAGATCTTTTTCCTTGAGTGAGGTTTGCAGTCTTTGGCCATCTAAATTATATTGTGTCTGCGGTCTTCTTTGCCTTTCCCCAATCTTCATGACTTTGCATTTGGCAGGGTTAAACTAAAGGAGCCAGTTGCTGGACCAGGCTTGTAGCCTGTCCAGGTCTCTTTGCAGTCCTTCTCTGATCCTCATCCGATTTGATTCTTCTCATTAACTTCACATCATCTGCAAACAAGGACACTTCTGAGTCTATCCCTTCCGTTATGTCATTCACATATACCAAGAACAGCACAAGTCCTAGGACTGACCCCTGTGGAACCCCGCTTGTCACAGGCGCCCACTCTGACACCTCGTCGCGTACCATGACTCGTTGTTGCCTCCCTGTCAGGTATTCTCTGATCCATTGCAGTGCCTTTCCTGTTATGTGTGCCTGATCCTCTAGCTTTTGCAATAACCTCTTGTTAGGAACTGTGTCGAAGGCCTTCTTGCAGTCCAAAAAAATGTAGTCGATCCACCCCTCTCTCTCTCTTGTCTTACTTCTGTCACCTTGAACATTAAAATGGTATAAAATACCGACAGGTTGTTAGGTAAAACACATATGCAACAGTTAGGTATCTTTATTTCGAAACGTTTCACCTACACAGTAGGCTTCTTCAGCCGAGTACAGAAAAGTTGACAGAAGCAGAAGATACTTGAAGAGGATGTAATCAGTCCATCACCCTTGAAGTTTTGAGGTGGTCAGTCCCTCAGCCTGGAGAAGAGTATTGTTCCATAGTCTGAAACTACTTATGGAACTATTTATGGAACTTGCTTCCACTACTTCACTCTCCAGATTATTCCAGTTCCTGACAACTCTAAGACTAAAGAAATACTTCCTAACATCCCTATGACTCATCTGGGTTTTCAGTTTCCAATTGTGTCCCCGTGTTTCTGTATCCCATCTCTGAAACATTCGATCCTTGTCCACGTTGTCAATGCCTCTTAGTATTTTATACGTTGTTATCATGTCCCCTCTATCCCTCCTATCCTCTAGTGTCATCAGGTTGAGTTCTCTTAACCTCTCCTCATAAGACATACCCCTCAGTTCCGGGACTAATCGTGTTGCAAATTTTTGCACTTTCTCCAATTTCTTGACGTGTTTGACTAAGTGAGGGCCCCATACTGGCGCTGCATATTCCAGTATAGGTCTTACGTACACTGTGTACAATGTCGTGAATGACTCCTTACTCAGATGTCTAAACGCCAATCTCAGGTTTGCCAATCTCCCATATGCTGCAGCAGTTATTTGATTGATGTGTGCCTCAGGGGACATGTTCGTTATGATGCTTACCCCAAGATCCTTTTCTTTAACTGACGTTTGCAGCTCTTGGTTTCCTAACCTGTACTCCGTATGCAGTCTTCTGTGTCCTTCCCCAATCTTCATGGCCTTACACTTACTGGGGTTAAACTCCAGGAGCCATTTGTCGGACCATACTTGTAGTTTGTCCAGATCCCCTTGTAATCTTAACTGATCGTCTCCCAATTGTATTCTCCTCATCAGTTTCACATCATCAGCGAACAGTGACACTTCTGAATCTATTCCTTCCACCATGTCATTCACGTATACAAGAAACAGCACCGGGCCTAGGACTGACCCTTGTGAAACCCCACTCGACACATTCGCCCACTCCGACACTTCAGCACGTACCAACACACGTTGTTTCCTTCCTGTCAGGTATTCCCTGATCCATTTCAGTACTTTCCCCTTTATTCCTGCCTGCTCCTCTAATTTTTGCACCAGTCTCTTGTGTGGTACTGTGTCAAAAGCCTTCTTGCAATCTAAGAAGATGCAATCTACCCATCCCTCTCTCTCATGTCTTACTTCTGTTACCTTATCGTAGAACTCAAGTAAATTTGTGACACAGGATTTCCCATCTCTGAAGCCGTGCTGACTGTCATGTATGAGCCCAATCTTTTCAATGTGTTCCACTACTTTTCTCCTGATAATCTTTTCCATGACTTTACATACTATACAAGTCAGTGACACTGGTCTGTAGTTTTAATGCTACTTGTCTGTCCTCTTTCTTAAAAATTGGAACTACATGTGCTGTCTTCCACGCCTCAGGCAACTGCTCTGTTTCGATAGATTTACTGAAGATTGCTGCTAATGGCACACACAGTTCCTCTGCTCCCTCTCTCAGTATCCATGGAGATATGTTATCTGGGCCCACCGCCTTTGAGGTATCGAGTTCGTCTAGCAGTTTCTTCACCTCTACCTTGGTTATGTGTATTGTGTCCAGCGCCTGCTGGTGCACCCTACCTCCACAGTTTGCTGGAAGTATTCCTGACTCTATTGTGAATACTTCTCTAAATCTTTTGTTTAGTTCATCGCATACTTCTTGGTCACTCTTCGTCAGCTCTCCTCCTTCTTTCCTCAGTCTGATTACCTGGTCCTTCACTGTTGTTTTTCTCCTAATGTGACTGTATAACAACTTTGGTTCAGATTTGGCTTTTGATGCCATGTCGTTCTTGTATTGCCTCTGGACCTCTCTCCTTATCATTGCATATTCATTTCTGGTTCTTCTGCTCAGCTCCTTGTTTTCTTGAGTCCTTTGCCTTCTATACCTTTTCCATGCTCTGGCACACTTGGCTTTGGCCTCTTTACACCTCCAATTAAACCATGGGCTCACTCTGGTCTTACCATTTTTTTCTGTTGCCCTTTGGTATGAACCTTTCCTCTGCCTCCCTGCACTTAGTGGTTACTATTTCCATCATTTCATTTACTGTCTTTCCATCTAGTTCTCTTTCCCACTGCACTTCATGCAGGAAACTTCTGATTCCTATGTTGTCCCCTTTTTTGAAGTTTGGTTTCTCTCTTTGTTCTCGTGATACTGCATTCTCCACTGTTAACTCAACAAGATATTCAAAACTCAGGACATCATGATCACTAGCGCCAAGGGGTCTTTCGTGGGTGGTATCCCTTGTCTGAACTATTCAAGGTGAATATGAGATCCAGCCTTGCTGCAACATCCTCTCCTCTCTCTCTGGTTGTATCCCTAACATGTTGATGCATGAAGTTCTCCAATACAGTCTCCAAAATCTTACCCCTCCATGTTTCTGGTCCCCCATGTGGCTCTAGGTTTTCCCAATCTCTTTATGATTGAAATCCCCCATTATAAGCAATTTTGTCCTACCCATATGAGCCCTCCTGGCCACTTCAGCTAGTGTATCCACCATTGCCCTATTGCACACATCATACTCTTCTCTTGTTCTCCTGCTGTTAAGTGTTCCTACAATGAAGTCGTCTGTTTCCCTTCTTTCCATTCCTCCCATCTCCTCAAAACTCCACTGGTTTTTTATGAGCAATGCTACTCCTCCCCCTCCTCTGTTCTCTCTGTCTTTCCTCATAATCTGATATCCAGGTGGAAAAATTGCATCTGTTATCATCCCTGTAAGTTTTGTCTCTGTTAGTGCTATAATGTCAGGTGATGCATCAATGATGCGTTCTTGCCACTCTTCACTCTTATTTGTTATTCCATCTGCATTGGTGTACTATACCTTTAGCTTCCTTTCCATTACTGTATTTTGGGAGATGGAAGAGGAAGGTGCAGGCTGGGAGGGCAGGAGGCAGGGCACAATATTATGGGAGGCTGCTGTGACTGTGGAATTTGTGCTTAGGGGGGTGGTGGCTATGGAGTGAGGTTCGTTTCTGTTTACTGTGTTTGGTTGATATGTGGTGACAGGGGTTAAGAGGTTTCTGTAAGCATTTGTGTTTGATGTTTCCCCAAAGGCTGAGCTTTCCTGTCTGTCGTTGCCTGTCCTGTCTCTCTTTCCTTCCACTGGTTCTGTCTTGCTCTCACTTTCAGTTGTTCCCTTTCCTTTCGTGTTCTGTCTCGATTGAGGAACACTTTTTGAAAATCTGGAGAGTCCTTTAACAGTGGTTTCTGTTGTAGTATCCTGTTCCGTACCACATCTGTCTTGAATGTCAATCTGATTGGTAATTTTTTTTCCCTTGAATACCCCCCAAGTCTGTGAAAATTTTCTACCTGAGACATGTCCCTCTCTCCTGTTATTGCAATGTTCTTAATCTCTGTTTTCTCCCAATGC